ACCATAAAAGAATTCATTAGTTAACTTTAAAACACTTTATTCAATAATTAATTGATCCCAATTGAATTTTAAGTGATTCCAAGATCCTTTATTTGTGCAATAATTGACCAGACTTAGGCCCTAATACCAACCATTACATTTTCAAGGCGACTAAACTCTATACTGATTACAACTCTTGTAACTCTTGGTTGAATAATTAATCATCACATGCTTAATTATTACCCTTAGGTTCAAGGTTCTAAACCCTTTAGGTAACCTTGTTGAGTATAACCAATTAAAAGTGTAAAATGTGATTTACCCCAACTCCCGAAAGATATAATATGACACCCAGTTGAGGCATGACCCATCATAAATATCAAAGGTTTCATCGGGTTTTTAATTGGAAAAGCTACCTCAATATTTCCGGGACCTAGATTTATTATGTTGTGATTATTTAGTGAACTCTAGCACATCATCAATTAACATAAATAAAATCTAACATGCATAATCTAATAATGCAATAAAATAAAGCATGACATAGTATAACCCCTTAGTCCTAAGAAAACTAGAAATGAAAATGCTCCCACTTGAATCATCATGGATCTCCAATCACCTTGCTCCTTTGGGTCTTCACTTCATGGGCTTCTTTGAACTAACATTATTTGAATAACTATTCTATTTACTTTAAATAAAAGTTACAAAAATACTTAACGGTACGCAGACCGTATTAAGATTACAAAAATACATCACGATGCGCAGATCGTATTTAAGAATCTATGGGTCATACTAGTCTATATATAGCAACATAATATCATATATTATAAAAGTGTCATTTAATAAATCAATCAACATGCTTGTCTAAACTACAACATCGAATGTTCATAATAAAGTCAACACATTTCCTAAAATATCTCATATTTTAATCATAATTAGATAATATCATATATTATTCATGACCGTTTATTAAATATCATATATTTAATTTAGTCATGAGATAAAATCAAATCATATTTTAATCTAGAAAGATAAATCATATTTAATCTTCCATGATTATTCTAACAAATTGAGGAGATTCTATCCTAATTACTAGCCAATCAAATAATTTTAAAATCAATTATATCCTAATATAATTATGGGATAATCATATTATTTAAATCAATTATTATCCTTTTGAAATATGCTCATAATATCTTAACAAATCTTATCCAAAATTAACCACTTTAACTAGAATAATTACCAATTTAACAACTTTAAATATGGATAATATCAAATACAACAACTTTTGAATATTTGATTTTATCCTAAAATATAAGATTTTATCCAAATAAAACCGATTCTATCTTTTAAAATATTTTAAAAATATTTTATCTTATCCAAAATAAATAATATTTATCTTAAAATAATTTTAAAATAATTTTTTTTTTTGAAAAACCGTAAGCCACCACCGCCGGCCACTGTGGTTGGCTAGCCAAAGCTAGCCACGGTGGCTAACAGCCTTGACGGCAGCCACTGCCGCAAAGGGCAGCAGCGCGACAGCTGCTTCTGTCGGGGCTGCAGGCCACCATGCGTGGCCAGCCAAGGCTAGCAACAGTGGCTGGCTGCGGTTAACAGCCACTGCCGCGCAAAGGTAGCAGCAGCAGCCTTAGCGTGGCTGTGACAGCAGCCGTGCAACTCTTGCACGTTGCTGTCCAGCCACCTCCCGGACCACCTGCCCTTCCTCCCTCCCTCTGGACTAACCACCCGGTCAGCAGCCGCCGTGGCTGCGCAACCCAACCGCGGTTGCCGACCAATTTTATTTTTTTTTTTTTTGTGTTTGTGTTTTAATTTAATTAAAATAACACTTATCATAATTAAATTAAATCAGTCCATAAGATTAAAAATAAATCAAATTCAACTTTAAAGTTAGGGTTTATCATAAAATTAATCCCAATTTAATTCTAACTTAAAAAATTAAATCGATGATCATACACAAAACACTTTTATGTATAAATCAATCCGATTGAAATTATGAATTATAAAATAAATCGAATTAAATAAAAATCAAGCACAAAAATCATATTTTAGGGCTAGTATTTTCTAAAAATTCGAAATTAAGGTTAGGGTGTTCGAATATTTCGAACAACTTAGGGCTAAAATTCGGTCATCTTCATGGCTATTTGAGAATAATTAAATCACATTTAATCGATTCCAAAAGTTTAATCACATTAAAATAATAATTGAACCATAATTAAATTAATTTCTCCCTCTTAGTTGATTATAAAATTAACATGGACATCAAATATTCGTATTATTATGATCTAACGCGTTCATGCAAGAGGCTAACCGATACCACTGTAGAAGTTTATAGGTACTACGCAACGGAAATAATATGAATCATATTCAATTAAGCACCTAATCCCAAGAATCACATGTATAACACACAAGACACATAATCATACCTTTGATGCGTGAATTCCACGAAACTATTCGACAGGCAAATCAGGGAAAGAATAGAGCCCCAAGTGTTGCTCCTCTATTTAGTCCACGAGATTCGAACAAGCCATCCACCAATACTAGATTGGTCGAGTGATTGAGGAAAACCGCGATCACCACCTTTACGGACAACCGACCAGCGCACGAACCACCACCACCACGAGACACCACAGGCGCCAAGGAGGAGGAGAGAGCCGTGTGAGAGAGAGGACTTTGAGAGGGGTTGGTTTTTCGTGTTTGCTAATTAGAGGTTGGTTTTTCAGTTAATTGCTTACATGCAAACCTAGGCACCTAGTCTATTTATAATCCTATTATAATTAAACTAGCGCACGAAGCCCAAAACTCTCTTATCCACTCCATATGGCCGGCCACCTAGAGTGATGAGGCCCATAATGGGCCTCGTCCTCTAATGCTCAATCTAGCCCTTTTGTGTGACCTTATAGGATCCGTCCAATTGGGCTTTTGGCTGCTTTACTAGTTCAAAGATCGTTAGTACCTCTAGGTATGGCAAAGCGATGACCCAAATGTACGAACTTAATTATCTCCATATGATTTTGGGGTTATTATCATCACCCAAACTAATTCCACCAACAGAAGTAACAACATCTTCCTTATTATCGTTTCATCCATAATCGTATCCATATATAGTTCAACACGGATTTACCTATAATTTGAATTGAGTAATTTTATTTTAATAAACTTACAACATAAATCAACTTATTATACATCAAACCATATTATAATCAATAAAGGAGATAGGAAGTTAAACTTACTTGAAGCTTGCTAATCGCTACCACCGCTTTACCATTTCAGCCTACAATCAAAATTGAGTAACTTTAATCATCTTACATTATAAATCGACTCACAATACTATAGCTTGATAATCGCTACAAAGGGCAATACCATTTCCATTCTCTTATTGATGGGCTGCTTGCTTAGGGCAATAATGCATGGTTATTTCAAATTTGCTACAGTGTGGTGTACAGTAACTAACCACAGTTAACAAGCGTTAACATGCAACTAACGCCTATTGAATTTGGCGTAAATTTGGCGTCCAAAATCCAAGTTAACGGAGATGTGGTGAGCTGTCAATTTGTTTGAACTAAGGGGCACACATTTGCATGTTATTTACAATTCATGCCATCGAATTAACGAATTTCGCAAATCTGGGGCATGAACTTGTATTTGCCGTCAAAATAGTTCCTAAATTGGTATTAATTTGGAAATGCATGACAAATTTAATATTTCTACTTTTAGTTGTCTTATCCACTTCCCGAGATTATTCGTTAGTTTTTGCCGTAATTCAATTATTTAAATCTTGACACTTAATTAATGTATGTTCACCAATAACATTATGGAAAACGAGAAAGCCCCAGTTAATCAATTTGATAAACAAAATTTGTTTATCAAATGACAAAATGGTAAATAAAACAATTTTGCCATTTGATAAACAAATTTTATTTATCATATTCATCAACTTGTATTTTCTCATGGAAAACCATTCAACTACTACAAGGAATCCACTGGAAAGTAAAGGGATCAATCGAAAACAAAAAAAAATTATAAGAAAGACAAAATATAAGTATCATTCAAGATATTGTGGCAAGATATGATATGAACGAAGAATGCTCCTAGTGGATGTTTTTCTCTATCTCTTTAGTTTAGAATTTATTACTTTTGTGTGCTTTTATTATATTTTACGCTTTTTTTTTTTTTTCAAATGTAAAAAGAAAGACCTTGACCGTAGCTCAACCCTCACAGTTTTTATTATATTTTAGGATAGTTTTATTGCTTTCTTAATTAGTGTTTTAGAATACATAGATTCCGTCAAAAAAAAAAAGTTAACATAGATATAGTTGAACAGTTCGATAAAATTCAAAATCAAGTCAGTTACATCCTTGGGCCATTACTAATCATGATTTAACAACAGTTTTGATTTTTGGTTTATTGACCCCCAATGCAAATCAACTCTGTCCAACCCAACAAAGGTGCTGCTGCCCCCTGTTGCTGAAGCAAAAACTGCTGCTGCAATTAAGTGGAGAAAGCCAATGCAAGGGTGCGTTAAGGTGAACTTGGCGAATGTCCTGGTGGGGGTGTAAGGGGGGGCTAGGGGTGGTATTCAGGGACACTGTAGGTCAGTTAGTTGCAGATGCAGTTAAGGTGGTTCATTGTACAGCTCTGGATTGTGGCAGAAGCAACGGTGATCAGATATGGTTTGCAAGTGTCAAGTAGGCTCGGTTATAATCAAATTGAAGTGGAGAGCGATACACTAAATGCTACTAGTTTCTATGCTGTAAAGATGGTGAAATGTGGGATGACTCAAATTCATTTAGTTTATGATATTAGAAATGATGGGATGTTATTTAATATATGTATTTTTGCTCATATCAAAAGATCATGTAATACGGTTGCTCACCAAGTGATAAGGTGGAAAATCATTGGTAACTTTGAGCTTGTTCAGTTAGGCTCGTTCCCTCAAAGCAGTATTTCTTTGACGGATTTGAATTTCTAATAATAATATAACATGACTATGTTCATTAAAATAAAAATAAAAATCAATGATATACAAGCATATACAGTGAGCTCAATTAAAATTTAACACAAATGTCATGTCATACATTTTTATACATTTTCTAAATGCACCATAATAGTGAATTAGTGATGCTGCTTTCCTGCTTTGAGAGGATGTGGTATTGCTCTCAGACCACATCTCCAGCATGATCATTAATATACAAGAGCATTTGCATAATCATTATAAACATATAAAAACACACAGAAGGCAACAAGCTTATTGTGCACGCTCAAGCAACATCCGGCTCTGGGATGTCCAGGTAACAGATAGTGGATGTGCTGAAGATATCTGGACGCGTATCACCTCATAGACAGCTCCTCTAGATAGCACCCCCAGAACATCTTCTTGTGTGTTTGTAGCAAGGTTGGCCAACGATACCACACGATAATGAGATTCATCTCGCAAGCGAAACCCGTTAGACCATTGTCCTACTTTCCACCATTTTATTGAAACTTGTCTCTCAGATATGTCGGAGCATTGAAGGGCATCCTTAACATATTGCAGCTGCATAACAGTACAACTCAAAATAAAAGTATAAGAGCTGCATAGTAGCTAGCATGAAGGTGATGAAAAACTCAATTTCTAAATCAGAAAGTAGTTTTCTAGTTTCATAAAGATACAAATGCAATTTCACTTAGCAGCACGATGGCTCAATACAAAAAAGGCCATAAGACTCAGAATACAGCAAACCAGGTTACACACAAGATCTTGATCAAATAGATGTAATCCCCCTCCTCCCCCTTGTTTGTTTGTAGACGATTGACCACAAAATGAGACTCATCCCTCAAGCATCACTATGGCTCGATAAAAAGGCTATAAAACTCAGGATTTTGCAAACCAGCACATACACAAGATCAAATTGATGTAATCGATTCCCCCCTGCCTCTTTGTCCTCTATCTGTTACTAAATTAGTCAGTTATTCAGCTTATTGGATAATTTGCAATGTAAGGTGAGCTGCACTATATAATTGCAGATGCAAAGGTATTTGCGAGCTTATTAAATTTGATCCATGCTTTGAAGAACCAAATCTGACCATCAAACAATACTCATGCTCACTCCAAAGAAACTATAGCACAAAAACATTTTCTAGCTGCAAGTTCTAATTATCCCCCATCCTTGAAAATTTCCTACGTACTTTGGACACGCATAATAAGGAATTCAAACGGGTATATTATTGTTAGTTACAGTGGGTATAAGAATATATAAATTAAGGGTAATGTTATATGTAACCCTAAGGGCTATACATAAGCATTAAATATACTCTTGGAAATTGTATAAAATTAGGAATTCATGACAAAAACACGCGTAAATCAGTATTATTAGTGTTTATATTTTAATGATTTCTTAACTTTTTATGATTTTCAAGTGTAAATTTAATTCTTATATGTAGCCCTAAGGGCTATGTATAACATTTTCCATAAATTAATAATAACATAGTGGATAATAGAGCCCACATAATATAAAAAATGAGGCAAGGGTAAAGAGGTGTAAATCATGTGTGAGTGACAATTTAATTTTAAGAAATAGGGAAAAATATTTGTGGACATCCTGAGAAGGAGTACACGATTATTAATGGGAAATTCTCAACGATAACCCCCAATTTTTGCTACGCACCAATGGTAACCTCCCTTTTTTTTTATTATACAAAATGACCTTAATTAAAAATTTCATCTCACTTATGACATTAATGAGAGTTAATTAATTAAAAGAAACTTGCTATAGTTAACTTTGAAAAAAAAAAACTTAAAAAAAAAAAAAAAACCTAAAAAGGAAAACCACCAACCCAGCTCCTGCGAGCATCTAGGGTTCCCCGTTCCCCCCGCCGGCGACGCTACCCTAGCCCCACCATTACCCAGAACCCAAACCCCATCGACGACCTTCCCTCTCTCTCCTCTTCATAGTGCAACCACCATTTTCGCTCAAATTAAGTTCGCAATTGAGCAATCAAAGCTTTAATTCGTTCAATTGTCCTCTATTTTCAATCACAATGTGTTTTTCGAACCTTAAATCAAGCAATTGTCAATTCTTAGATTTTTCCCAATTTCTAGGGTTCTTCCAATTCCATTCTACATTGTTCGAATTTGAACAATTAGCCACAAATTGTAAGATGGTGTGTAAGGTGGTTGTTGAGGGCTGCACTAGGGGCAAGGTGGCTGATTGGTTCGAATTTGAACATTTTCCTTTTTATTATAGATTAAATTATGCACAATTAGCACAATATCCTAACAGTGGTATTAAGAGCTACTACGATTAAGAAGGCTCTAGCACGATTTCCGCAAAGTTAGAAATATTTAATTTAAAAATAAATACATAAAAAAATTAAACAAAAAAAAAAGAAAAAAAGAAAGATGTCATTTTCAAGCACAAATCAACAAGTTGTTCCACTATTCAATGGTGATAATTATTTACGAATTATTGAAGCATTCGAATGAAGGTTGTTTTATGTGCCTTTGTCATTTAGGAAGTTGTTGAAAACGCCATACCAGCAACACAACAAACTAAATGAAAAATTGATTGGCAAAAGAAAGATGTAGAAGCCAAAATTCATCCTGCTACCACAGACTCGATATTTCCTGAAATAATAAATGCTACCTCGACAAAACAAGCATGGGATACCTTGAAAAATGAATTTTAAGGAACAGAGAAAATGAAGGTCGTCAAATTACAATCGCTTCAACTTGAGTTTAATCATTTAAAAATGGGAAAAGATGAAAGTATAAAAGAATATTATTCCATAGTAATAGAGCTCGTTAATCAATTAAAGCCATGGGTGAAAGTACAACGGATCAACCGAGTGGTGCAGAAACTGTTATTAACCTTATCAAAAAGGTACAATACGATCGCTCAAATAATTGAAGAAGCAAAAGATCTCACTACATTATCTCTTATAGACTTTCTTGATTCACTGCGAATTCATGAACAAAGAATGATTATTAGGGATAATGGAACAATGTCTACAGATGGTCAAGACCGAGCTTTTCAATCAAGACACATACATTCTTCTTCCTCTTTAAAACCACAAAATTCAAGAGGAAATTTCAAGCAAAATAATTCATACAACAATAAGGAGAGAGAACGAAACGGTAAATTTCATCCTTGCAAAATTTGCAAAAATACAAATCATGAAGAAAAGAATTGTTGGCGTAAGGGAAAACCACAAAGCAACTATTGCAAGAAATTTTGTCATATTGAAAAGAATGTAGGTTTAAAAAACAACAAGTGTCAGAGACAATAGATGGTGAAGAAGGATACCTTTTCTATGCTAATCAAAATAATAACAATAAAGGAGAAGATTGGCTTGTAGATAGTGGATGCACAAATCATATGACCAAGCGATATTTTCACTGACACATCTGTTAAAATCCCTATCAAAATGGGTAATGGAGCAACGGTGAAATATGAAGGAAAAGGTACTATTGTAGTTGAAAAAAAATTAGGCACAAAGCTAATTAATGATGTTCTTTATGTCCCTAGTTTGAATCGGAATGTGCTTAGTGTTCCTCACATGATTCTGAATGGATATTCCGTTCACTTTAAGGGTGAATCATGTGCAATATTGGATCCACAAAGAAATCAAGTTGCAAATATTAAAATGCAACAAAAACGTTTCCTTTAAATTGGAAATATGCAAGAAAAGAAAAGGTAATGCAAGCACAAGGAGATGAAGCTGCATGGCTATGGCACAAGCATTTTGGTTATAGTAATTTCCAAAATCTAAAACTTCATTCGCAGAATAATATGGTGAAAGGTGTACCTATTAACTCAAATATAATTGGTGTATGCAATGGTTGTCAATTAGGAAAAATGAGAAGGCAACCGTTTCCAAAGGCAATTGCGAGAAGAGTAATTAAGAAATAAGAACTTGTGCATACAGATGTATGTGGTCCAATGAAAATTCTTTATCTCGATGATAGCAAATATTTCATCTTATTTATCGATGATTTTTCTCGAATGACATGGGTATTACTTCATAAAAGATCGTTCTGAAGTTTTCAAAATATTTAATAAATTTAAGAATTCTGTCGAGACAGAATGTTCATCACAAATAATGAATCTTAGAAGCGACAATGGGAAAGAATAAACCTCATTAGAGTTCAACAAATTTTGTGATGAGGAAGGTATACATCACAAACTTACTGTTCCATATACACCGCAACAAAATGGTGTAACTGAAAGAAAGAATAAAACTGTAATGGAGATGGCAAGATCAATGCTCAAGGACAAAGGAATGCCTAACAAGTTCTAAGTAGAAGCAGTTTATATTTCCGTGTATCTTCAAAATCGACTCTCAAAAAAAGCAATAGAAGGTCCAACACCAATTAAAGCATGGACGGGATATAACCCATCTATAAGTCATTTAAAAGTGTTTGAATGTGTATGTTATACCCATGTACCCGAATAAAAACGTCATAAACTTCATGATAAAGCCGAAAAAGGTATTTTCCTTGGCTATAGCTCTCAATCTAAAGGATATAGGGTATATAATCCATATACTCATAAAGTTGAAGTTAGCATAGATGTAGTGTTTGATGAAAATGCATCATGGAATTGGGAGCAAAATGATATTAACGGAAGGTATGTTACGACACCAACATTTCATCAAGAGCGTCCTACACCACTAATATCAACTCTAGGTGATTGAAGTCCACATTCGCAGGAGGCGATTGATAATAATACAAATGAATCAGATGGATACAACTATGATAATTCTACATATTCACCTCCTAGAAGAACTCGAAGAATTTCAGACATATATTTAAAAACCGAAAGAATTTCGGATCTTGATTTTGAACAATGTGAACTTTGTTGTCAAGCTACGCATGAAACAGTTAACTATGAGCAAGCCTCTCAATATGGAGAATGGAGAGCTGCTATGGAAGAAGAAATTTGCATGATTGAGAAAAACCAAACATGGGAATTGCAAGACAAGCCACCCAACAAAGATGTCATTGGTGTCAAATGGATATTCAAGACAAAACTTAATCCAGATGGTTCGATTCAAATGCACAAAGCCTGGTAGTAAAACGATATTCACGACAATTCGGAATCAATTATAATGAGACAGTTGCTTCGATGTCAAGACAAGATACATTTAGAGTAATTCTTGCTCTAACCGCACAACGAAAATGGAAAATTTATCAACTTGATGTCAAGTCTACCTCTTTAAATGACTTTCTTGAAGAAGAAATCTATATCGAACAACCTACAAGGTTTGTAGTGAAAGGAAAGGAAGATAAAGTATTGAAGCTAAAGAAAGCTTTAAATGGACTCAAGCAAGCTCCACGCGATTGGTATAGTCGAATTGAGGGTTACTTTATTCAACAAAAATTCACGAGGAGTCCTAATGAAGCAACATTATACATAAAAACGGATGGGCCTAATGTCATAATCATATCACTTTATGTGGATGATCTAATCACTACTAGAAATAATCCAACAATGATAGAAGCATTTAAGCAAGATTTGAAGAAGCAATTTGAAATGACTTATCTTGGTCTAATGAATTATTTTCTTGGTATGGAGATTAAACAAACCAAAGACGGGATTTTCATAAGTCAAAAGAAATATGCTGAAAACATCTTAAGAAAGTTTAAAATGGAAAATTGCAAACAGGTGTCTACGCCTTTAGCTCAAAATGGGAAGTTAAGCAAGGAAGACGATTCTGAAGATGCTGATGTTAAACAATATAGAAGCATAATTGGAAGTTTGTTATATCTTACAGCTACAAGACCAGATATGATGTATGAGGTAAGCATGTTGGCAAGGTTTATGCAAAAACCAAGCCAGATACACTCACAAGCAATCAATAGAGTTCTTCGTTATCTAAAAGGAACCTCAGATTATGGAATATGGTATAAGCCCATTAAAAATTATAAACTAACTAGATATTCAGACAGTGATTGGGCTGGATCTATAGACGATATGAAAAGCACATCAAGATATGTGTTTTCACTTGGAAATGGTGTATTTTCTTGGCTAAGTCAAAAGCAAGATATTGTGGCTCAATCTGCAGAAGCCGAGTATATTGCACCATGTGCAGCAGCAAATCAAGTAATTTAGTTAAGAAGAATCTTAGCAGAATTAGGTGAAGTTCATAAACAACCCACAAAAATATTTTGTGATAATAAATCTGCTATTGCTATTGCTCAGAATCCAGAACAACATTGAAAGACTAAACATATAAAAATAAAATATCACTTTGTCCGTGAAGTTGAAAGTGCAGGAAGGCCTTGTTCATTGTTGTACTGAAGAACAAATTGTTGACATGTCTACAAAAGCACTTCCAAAATCAAGTTTCGACTTGTTAAGGGGGAAACTTGGCATTCAAAGGAAGCTCTTCAAGGAGGAGTGTTAAAAATAAAAAATCTTCCTTCATCCTCTATAATTAACAAGCTATTTTTAGTTATTATTATATTACAACTATTGATTTCACTTTAATAATCATTCAAATTTTAAGTAAACTATTAACAATATTTATGTAATTAATATTGTTATAAAAGCGTTGTAAAATCATAAGAATATATATCATATCAAAAATAATAAAATTATATGTTGCTGTTGTCAAAAAAATAAATAAATAAATAAAGGAAATTTTGCGAATAACTACCATTTAAATGCCCACTTTTGAAAACAACTACTATTTAAAATTTTCTTTTGAAAAAACTACCACAAAAATACAAAAAGTTTGAGTAGCACTACCACATTTATTGTTTCCGGCAAGAATCTCAATTTTTGGGGCATATTTTATAAAATTTCCCTCAAAAAACCCAAATTAAATGATAATATTGCATTACATTAACCCTTAATTGGATTATACATTTCAATTGCCCCAAATCCCCCAATTTTGTAAAGCCCTTAATTCAATTTTTTGACCATAAACCCTAATTTTAAGCTTTAATTGAGAAATTAAATAAACTATGATGCAAAATTAAAGATAATTGACCTATAATTGTGTTTTACTATCGAAATTTCTTGTTTTCTATACCACAATTGATTGAAATTTTATAAACTAGGCTTTCTCAACCGGAAATTCTTCCCAGAAAATAAAACGTGGTAGTGCTACTCAAAGTTTTTGCGACTTTGTGGTAGTTTTTTTAAAAGAAAATTTTAAATGGTAGTTGTTCTCAAAAGTGGTCATTTAAAAGGTAGTTGTTGGCAAAATTTCCATGAATAAATAATAAAATTATATATATTTTTTAATTTCTTCTTTTTATTATATATTATATTATGCCCAATTAGCACTATATCCTAACATAGCCAAATAATTTTCTCAAGTTTTTAACCATCCATAAAAAAAGATCACAGAAGGTGATGCAAGAATTATACTTCCTTCGATCCCATATGATTTTCAATGAAGCAGGTGCCTAAAATCCTAATCAAACTCAACCATAAAATACATGCAAAGTTTTAATCAATTCACATAAACTAATTAGGAACTGACTTACTATTCAAGACTTAAAAATTTCTCGTCACAAAAGAGGCTGCACTTACTTTTTTTTTTTGGGTGCAAAAGAGGCTGCACTTACTCTGATAACTCTGTTCCATAAGATTTATTTTAGGTTGGACGCATGAGAAGAATCACATGAATGGCCTATATAAGATTGCCAATAAGGGTTATAATTTAACAGATCACTGATATGAAAAACTGTATTGACTAAAATACTGGGAAACCTGGAATATATGATAATATATCAAAGATAATTGACTAATGATGAGAATATTATTTCTAAAAACTAGAATAAACAAAGAGGTTTTCTCATGCTACTTTAATAGTTAATCATTCTGAAAAAAAAAAAGCTGTCAAGAGCTGTAAAATTTTCCTAGAATGAAATCGAATCACTACGACCCTAGAACATTGCTATATAATGACAACATGTCCACCTCTGCAACATCACTAGATAATCAGCATAATATATTCACTGAAATTCCTGCACTATAGCTAACCTTTCATATTCAAGGGAGAAAAGTGAATTCACATTAACTCAATTTGTACATACAGGTGGAAGTCAGAGCTCTAATCATAGAAATGAATAATTATAATGTTAAACGCGGGTCTAGGCCGCACCCGCAAACCAAGAGAGAGAGTCCATTTCACAAGTCCAAGGAGATTCCACCCCAAAGCCATATGGCAATAGGAGGAGTAGCCCCTTAGCCTTATAAAGTGTTTAACTCTCTCTTCTTTAATCAATGTGGGACACTTACATGTGGTGACACTTGAGAGCTTTATTCTTCAACACTCCCCCTCATATGTAAGGTCCCTTTTAACTTTGTCTCATGTGATTTTTCGGGCTAGAGTGCTTCTTCACTCCCCCTCACACGGACCTACTCTTGGCCCAGTGAACTTTAGCCATTTAAGGTCCCATATCATGGGCCTGGCTCTGATACCATGTCAAACGCGGGTCTGGGCCGCACCCGCAAACCAAGAGAGATAATATCGCAACAATTTGAAGAATTTCCAATCGCAACGTTCATGTTACTGCCGTTACGATTGCGGGAGGGTGTTAGAGATAATATCGGAAAATATATGTGTGATATATTTTCCGTATTGATCTTATTGAGAATAATATATTTAGGTTTATTATATGTTAAGATATTATTTAAGTATATCTTTTAGGAAGATTGTTTCCTATCTTATGAGCTTAGGTTTTGTATAAATACTCAACTTATTGATGAATAATAATCAAGTCATTCTATTCTCTCTCATAAATAATTTGTCATATAAGCTAGCAATATTGTACGGAGATTAAAAACTACAAAGGATGACACGTAACCTAACTACTGCAAATGAGTTTAAACCACTTGATGGATAAGGAAGAGCTGGCTTTTAAATGCGGCAGCAGGCTAACTTGCTCTTAGTATGATCATAGATGATTGTGTAGTCAATATAATAATTAACTATAGTTAGCTCCATAATCCATGTTTATTCTGTTAGATTTCTGTAATGTTCAGGTTCCTATTCGTTACAACCTAAAATAAGCTAAACTTAGCTAACTGCATGACTAAACCACTTCCTAACAAGAAAGCTTACAACAGATTTTACCTAAATCTATGATATGGGAGATATGCAGACACAAAATATGACTGTGACAGGTTAAAGAGAGAAATTAATAGTTTGTTAAGTTGGAGAGATAAGGAAGACTATATTGAAAGCTTAGAACTATTTTGATCCCTTAGATTATCATGATAGAATTATCTAGAAGCTTCCCGTGTCATTACTGACACTTTCATAATTTTGCAATTGTCAATCTGGCTCCTGTTTTATTACTTTAAACACCGATTCCATTAACTTTTCACCTAATTTACTGATTATTAGTTTTTTCTTGACTTATGAAATTATATTAACAAAAACTATCTAAAACTGAATTCAAGAATGAAAAGTTTGTTGTCAAAGTTTCTACTTTATTATTGTGTTTTCTTCATCGAGTTCAAGAAGTTGTGGATAAAGAAATGAATAATTTGGATTTTACTTTTGAATTAATGTTAAATGAGAATTATGGACAAGAATGGTAGTGATCTTACCGGCACTCCAAGCCAGTTGACACAATAGTGTAATCCTACCAAGTTCAGAAACACATTCAGCTCTTGCCTGAACAGAAACATCTGCACATCCATAAATTCCACCTGCATTGAACGGAGCTCTTCAATTGCTTTGAGATAGTCATGAACCTCCAGTGAAACAGAGAAGGAAAATTGCTCCACAAATTTCACAATTCTGCTTCCCAACTCACGGTGTCTTTTGACATAGAAATTCTTCCAACCCTATTAGGAATGTCAATCATAAACGAAACCCATAAGATTGATACACGCATACACTGGAACCAAAAGCATCTCAAGTATAGCACTAATAGCAGGCTTTTGCATCATAAACTCGCATAGTAAGGCTACAGCTTCCCAAATAATCGAACTATAATTGCCTGACAGGACCATGATGAGTTATGTACTTGTTAACAGCCAAAGGAACAGAAAACTGACACTTCACTACCCATATTTTGAGTAAAAAATAACCTATATCCAGTGACATGTCAAGAAATCACAAAGTAATGAGGTGAATGAAATGGTAGAAACATTTTAAGTTTGTTTTTAACAAAATGCTGAAAGATGAATTCAAGCCAATATGCTTGATCATCTTTAAGCTTAACAACAACAAATCATGATTATCTTAAATTCTAAAAAAATCCCGGGTCATGATGCACATTTTCAAATTACTTTTAAAACAATGATAACAAATTATGTTTAATTACAAAGGAAGAGGAAATGCATGACTGTTGATTTTTTCTTAAGAGAAATACAAGGGCTAAAGAACATATCTTATTCCAAGATTGTCAATGCATTACCCCTAAATCACTAATATTTTTAAGTATCAATATGTAGAAATTATAAAAATTTGATATTGTGCAAGAATAAATTAAGCATAAATATGTCTGTTAGTTATATTGTGGAAGAGGAAATGCAAGACTGTTGATTATTTTTTAGCCAAATCTTAAAAGAAGATTATACAGGAATAGACACAAGTATAGATTATCAAGAATTCAGCATAATCAGATTTCACAAATTTCAAAGTTGCCACTCTTTTAAAGACTTTCTAAATTAAAATGCCTTCCGTCTCAAATTAGATGACACAGTTTTTTTTTTAATCACATTTTTCGATACATAAATTCAATCATAAATATCTTTAATCATCAATAAGTAAAATTAAAAAAGTTGATGCTTTGAAATACACCTAAAAAGAGATGACTTCAGCATATTTTTTCTTATTTATAAAATTACAAAAGCTAATTAAAGTAGAGTTTCTGAATAGTGTCAAAACTCTAAACATGTCATTACATTTGGAACGGATACAAACCATACCCCAAATTCTCTATCCAAATTTCGCAGTTACAAACACATTTAAAATTAAAAAAAAAAAAAAAATTAAATTATACTTTCTCCGTTAACGATTATTTGCAAGTTTGAAATATTTTATATCTTACAAATAATGTCCCAAATTTGCAACTAAAAGTTAACGGAGATAGTAATATAAATAAAAAGCAAAATAAATTACCTTTATGTATGATTCAGAAATTGAATTATCAGAGATTAACGAATGATCAGATAAATTAAGGGAAGGCCATCTCCCTTGAGTCAGCAAAACCCATAATTGATCCGCTCCACATAATTCCCTCCAGAATTTCGAGCAACTTCCAAGAGCACAAACATCTCGAACCTATTATATCAATCATATTATATACAAAGCAATTTAAATTGATCAAATAGAATTATCAAGAACACCAAATTTAGAACTAACATATGATTATCAAAATATCAACATAAGGAAAAAAAAAAGGTGAAAGAATCAAAGTTGAATTAATTAGAGAAAAGAGAATTGTATTAGAAATTACCGGTAAAATAGAAGCGACTTTGAAGGCGATGTCGTAAGTAGGATCAAAGTTAAGGGTGCACGACAACTGCTTCATCTTCTTCAGGTTTAAAAAATGTCAAAATGGTGGACTTTCCATGTTGAGGGAATGAAGTTCCCAAATAAAGTGGGATATTTAATCGTCCTTTCTTACCGACTAGGACTATTTATTTATTTTTTTTTATGTTGGAAAAAATGATACTCCGTATTTTCTGGCCCTATTTAGCAGTAGTGTTCTAGGTCGTTGTTAGTGTTTGGACCAAATTTAAACGGCAAAAATAAGAGGGCTTTCGGTTCACACGGGTTAATAGAATAGAATATTAGAATCTATAAAGGGTAAGAGAGAAAACTGAAGTAAAACCCTTTGATCTAAATTATTTTTTTAAGAAATTTTTGGTATTTCACCTCTATTTCTCCCTTTATCAATGCACCACCACCTTATCACACACCCATATGATGCCACTACCACCCAACCTGGTTGTCGTCTTGCCACCACCCTGCCTGGTCGTCGCCTAGCTGCCACTTTGCCTGGTTGTCGCTTCCACACTAGTTTCTCTTCCTTTTTCTTGTTGGCAGCTACTTTTCTCTCTTCTTATTGTTTCATCACCACCATTAAAACCCAAATTCAAGGTTTTCATATTCATAGATCTAGAGTTTTAAAAGTCAAATTTTAGCTTTTAAAGCCATTATTTTTTTGGTATCCACACGGTTAATCTTTTGGGCTTATCCGAATTCGGGGATCAGTTTCGGGTATATATGATTCTACTACCACCCAACCTTGTTGTCGCCTTGCCACCACCCTGCCTGGTCGTCGCCTAGACGCCACTTTGCCTGGTTGTCGCTTCAACACTAGTTTCTCTTCATTTTTCTTGCTGGCAGCTACTTTTCTCTCTTCTTATTGTTTCACCACCACCATTAAAACCCAAATTCAAGGTTTTCATATTCATAAAACTAGAGTTTTAAAAGTCAATTTTTAACTTTTAAAGCCATTATTTTTTTGGTGTTCCACACAGTTAATCCTTTGGGCTAATCCGAATTCGGGGATCAGTTTTTGGTGTTTAGGTTCTACTCTCCTCCTAATTGTTGTTGTGGGGAATCAAACACGGGTCATCCCTACTAAGTGTAGTCTCAATCACCACTGCACCTGATATGAAATAACCAACAAAACCCAAGAAAAAGGGAGGACAAATCAAGTAACAACAAGTTCAAATCAACAAAATAAGGCAAACGTATCTCAAAATCACCAAGATAATGAAAATAGGGGTCTTAATTAAAGCCAACACCAAGTAAAGCTAGGATTAAGGTGTAACCAAAAGATTACAAGGTAGCAATCACAAAGAAAGCAAGATAATCACAAAGATTATGGTAGAGAAAGAAAGTCTCTTTGATTACAAAATCAAGCAAGGTTCAACATTAATTAAAATGCAAAAACGTCTTAAAACAACTTAAATAGTTCGCACAAGATGACTGAAAAACGGGAAAAGGTTCGGCCGAACTAAGGGTAAGTTCGGTCGAACTTGTGGGTAGGTTCGGCCGAACCTAGGGATGGTTCGGTTGAACTGTCCTGCTTCTGGTTCGGTCGAACCTTTGGAGTTCGACCACTGCTGCAAAACTGAAAAAATCGGGTTTGAAACTTACAAAATGGTTTGGTCGGACTTCCTAAATTCGGCCGAACCTCTTCAATTCTTCTTGTCTTTAAGTGTGATGATGGTTAGTCCCGAAGGGTGACCTCCAAGGAGCTTGGCCCGGCTTCGTGTCACGACACATGGCAAGTCTTCCACTGCTTCCACTAAGTTCCATGCACCCGCGTCAAACCCCTCCTCTTCAAAAGGAATTGCCCTCAATTCCGGATCATCATCACCAATATCATCTTCAAAAAGTAAAGGAGCAAGATCACCAACATTAAAGGTAGCATGAACACCAAAGTCTCCCGGTAGTTTGAGCTTGTAATTATTAGGTCCAACTCTGTCCACAACTTCAAAGGGGCCTTCGGATCTTGGCATGAGCTTGTTTTTTCTCTTAGCCGGGAATCTTTCCTTCCGAAGATGGAGCCACGCAAGATCACCTACATTGAATTCCCTTGGCTTCTTGAATTTGTTTGCCCTTGCCTTGTAACTCTCATTCACCTTCTCAATTCTCTTCTTGACATCTTCATGAAGCTTTTTCATCGTTTCAACTTTATCTTTCGCCTCAAAGCTCAACTCCTCTTGAGGGATACTAGGCAACAAGTCAAGTGGAGGCGGGGATTAAAACCATACACTACTTCAAATGGTGTTTTCCCAATAGCTATGCAATGAGAGCGGTTATAAGCAAATTCAACTTGAGGTACCTTAAGATCCCAATCTTTCATGTGTTTGCTAATGATAGCTCGGAGAACGGAGGACATGGTACGATTAGTTACCTCGGTTTGGCCGTCGGTTTGAGGGTGACTAGAGGTACTAAACAAGAGCTTGGTTCCCACTAACTTCCACAAAGTCTTCCAAAAGTAGCTCAAGAACTTAGGATCTTCGTCTGACACAATACTTTTTGGAATGCCATAAAGCTTCACCACTACTCTAAAGAACAAGGTAGCCACATGAAAAGCGTCATCGGTCTTGTGGCAAGGAATGAAGTGAGCCATCTTGCTAAACCGATCAACCACAACAAACACGGAATTATTTTGCCTTTGAGTGCGAGGGAGAGCAACCACAAGATCCATACTAAGATCATCCCAACGGTGACTAGGGACCGGAAGAGGAGAGTAGAGTCCTTCACGGAATTGACTTTTAGCCTTGTGACAAGCCCCACAACGAGCTATCACATCTTTCACATCACCAAACATCTTGGGCCAATAAAAATGCTCTCGAAGAATGTCATATGTTTTTGCAACCCCAAAGTGTCCAGCTAGTCCTCCTTGATGAGCTTCCTTAACAAGCAACCGTCGATGAGAGCTTTTCGGAACACAAAGCTTATTTCCCTTGAAAAGGAAACCCTCTTCCACCATGAAAGAGCCATCGACCCCTTCCTCACACTTCTTCATCAACCCACCAAAATCCTCATCATCGCTATACAACTCTTTTAGCAACTCAAACCCTAAAAACTTCGCATCAAGAATAGTGATCATACAATGCCTCCTAGAAAGAGCATCGGCAACAACATTGCTCTTTCCTTCATTGTACTTAGAAGAAAAAGTGAATGATTTGAGGAATTCAACCCATTTGGCATGCCTTGCATTGAGTTTATGAGAACCATTGATATACTTGAGATATTCATGATCGGAGTGTAGCACAAATGGTCTAGGCCTCAAGTAATGCGACCAATGATCAAGAGCCCTCATAATAGTATAGAACTCCTTGTCACAGGTACTATATCTCATTCTTGATCCACCAAGATTCTCACTAAAATAGGCAACCAGTCTCCCTCCTTGTACAAGAACCGCTCCAACTCCAACCCTACTAGCATCACATTCAACTTCAAAGGGTTGATCAAAATTCGAAAGAGCGAGCTAAGATTGGAGCCTCACACAACTTCTTCTTGAGGGTCTCAAAAGCCATTTGAGCCGATGGTGTCCACTCAAAAGTACCCTTGTTCATGCATTCGGTCACCGGGGCCAAAATAGTGCTAAAATTCATCACAAACCTTCGATAGAAGGATGCTAGACCATAGAAACTCCTAACTTGAGTGAGAGTTGTAGGAGTAGGCCAAGATTGAATGGCCTCCACATTACTAGGGTCCATTGAGATCCCTACATTTGAAATCACATAACCAAGAAAAACAATACTATCCACCATAAAAGTACACTTTTCCAACTTGGCAAAAAGCCGCCTACTTCTCAATATTTCAAATACTTGCCTCAAATGTTTAACATAATCAAGTTCACATTTTCTATAAACAAGTATGTCATTAAAATAAACAACAACAAATTTACTAATGAAGGGGCGAAGTACCTCGTTCATGAGCCTCATGAAAGTGCTAGGAGCATTAGAGAGCCCAAATGGGATAACTAGCCACTCATACAAGCCTTGATTTGTCTTGAAAGCGGTCTTCCACTCATCTCCTTCACGCATGCGAATTTGATGGTACCCCATCCTCAAGTCAATCTTCGAAAACACCTTGGAACCATGTAACTCATCAAGCATATCATCAAGTCGGGGAATAGGGAAGCGGTACTTGATAGTGATGTTATTGATGGCCCTAATATCCACACACATCCTCCATGTACCATCCTTTTTCGGAACCAAAAGAGCTGGAACCAAACAAGGGCTAAGGGATTCCCTCACAAATCCTCTTTCAATCAACTCACCAACTTGTCTTTGAAGCTCTCTTGCTTCATCGGGGGTACACCTATAAGCCAGTCTATTAGGGAGTTGTGATCCGGGAATAAGATCAATTTGATGCTCAATTCCCCTAATAGGTGGCAACCCGGGGGGGAGATCATTGGGAAAAACATCATGGTACTCAACCAATACTTCCTTGACAAGGGGGTGGATTGGGTTCTCTTGCTCACTCTCTTGTGTTTCCCTCAAAAGACAAATAAAGACAAGGTGTCCTTGATTTATCTCCTTCCCCATCTCATTTTCCCAAATGAGAAGGTTCTCTTTGATTGTGCGTCCTATACCCAAGGCTTCTTTGTGTTTGATGGTGGGGGACAAGGGGTTGAGTACAATCTTCTTCTTATCCATCATGAATGAATAAGTGTTCTTTCTTCCGTCATGCATTACATCTCTATCAAATGGCCAAGGTCTACCAAGCAATACATGACAAGCATCCATAGGCAATACATCACAAAGCACCTCATCTTTATATAGCTTTCCAATTGAGAAAGAAAGAAGAGTTTGTTTCGTTACCTTCACCTCATTGTGGTTGTTAAGACATTGAAGCTTGTAGGGAGTAGGATGATCGGTAGTTTCAAGATTGAGCTTGCTCACCAATGTTGTTTAAGCCACATTAGTGCAAGAGCCACTATCAATGATAAGGATGCAAACTCGATCCTTGATGGTGCAACGAGTTTAGAAGATGTTTTCCCTTTGCTCTTCCGCCAAAGGGGTAGAAATGGAGTGAAGTGCCCTCCTCACAACAAGGATTTGACCCTCATCGGCTTCAACTAGAATCTCATCCTTGTCATCATATATAGGGTCTCCAAAATCCCCCTTCTCATCTTCGTAATCATCATCATCCATTTCACGAATCATCATAGCTCTACTATTTGGACACTCATTAGCAAAATGTCCATAACCCCTACACTTGTAGCAAGTCTTCCGATTGCTCATCTTGTTGTGATAATCTTTTC